AATCAGGTGAATTTGACAGGTCTCTGTAGACTTACATACTCCATCCCTCCTAAAGCCGGATAGTGATAAAAAATCATTGACAAGTCAGACAGAAAGTACCCAATTGATACCTGCAGCATCAAATAACAAAAATAAATAAATAAAATTTAAGGCCTGCTCAAAACATATTGGAAATAAGAATCTGGAATTATATCTACAAAGTTGATTTTCAGTCATATAGGATGGTGAGATGTTAATTCAGAATATATGAGTTTGATGGTCTAATCAATCTCGTTAAAAATAAAATATGGAAGACCGCCATTTACTTGGTGGGACAAAATTTTCACATTGATCCAAAAGCATCATCGAGTTTAGATATCCTTAGAAGTAACGAAATAATCTTTGTCCGGTTAATCTTTAAATGCAGCAAAGGTCATGTAGTGACAAACTTTGTCACTACAAGAATAGGTTATAACCCACACTGAAGTAGTATGTTTTGGTTAGTTCCAAAAAATGAGAATAGAAGGGAAAAAAATGGGAGAAGTCGTCATTGATCACACCCACTTACACAAATTATACAATTCAACAATTTCATAGACATTTTAGACAAGTTAACCGCAAATATAGCTAACATTATAGCATACCCCTAATACAGCGTCAGATAAAGTTGATGATCTGTGGACTATCAACCCATCTTGAGCCTCATCAAAAAGATCTGAAACAAGCAAGAGATACAATTATACAAAGAGCCGGCAGCCACAACAATGGCATGGAAAGTGGAGAACCCCCTGCAATCACAATTAACCAGTAACTTTTCAGGTAACAATAATTTCACAGTCAAATAAAGAACATATCAATGACTTACAGTATAAATTAACATCGGTACCAAAAAAGAAAACCTAAAAAAAAATAAACAACAACAACGAAGACTTAACTGTTGTTCCATTCGAGCTTCTCTTTGTCGTTAAGCTTGTTATATCCCTTGAAGAGTAAAGAGCTAATTGCTCCTGTTAGGTCATAAACCTTGAACAAAAAATAGGATTTGTTGCAACATTCTTCAATTAGTCAATAAAATCCTATAATCACTTGTAAAAGGAATAAATAAAAGAACACTTGCAACAACCATAACTTACATTCCAAAGTCGAATGTAATTTGTACACTCCATCAACCAAAACATAAACATGAGTTTTCATGGCACAATACCCAAAACCCGACAACAATTTCATGTCAAAACTCAAAGTTAGAGAGAGAGAGAGCACTCACAAATTTGCACATCAAAATGCCGACAAAAACAGACGACAGCCAACGCAATTCTTTGGTCTGGGTGAGGTAACCTGCAATATTCATCAGCCCAACTACTTCTACTCCAATAACCCACATCATTTTATTTCCTCTCACTGGAAAAAAAAATTTAAAACAAAACGAAAGAAAACGTAACCAATTTGAAGTTCAAATGGGGAAAGAAAAATGAGAAGAGTAAGTAAATAGAAGCAGCAATCTACTCCCCATGCTTGTATGAATCCATACACAGAACAAATCTCAACAAATAAAAAATAAAAAACGTTTTCAGTTAGCGGATCATGAATTATCAATGGCCATGTAACGGAAACTATACAAAAACTGTACCGGCGAGAAGAAGATAACAGGAAGAACAATGGGCAAGAGGTGGACGCCGCGATGAGTATCTACGCCTTGTTTGGCAATCACCGATTAGGTGGACGCTTATAATAGTGGTTTCTAAAATAGTGTTTGATAAAATTAGTTATTATTAACTAGTATATATCCCGTGCGATGCACGGAAAAATTCATATTTAAAACTTTTTTTTAGACTTATGTAGATAAAATATATAATATTAATTAGTTTGTTAGAATGTGATTATATGAAAATCAAGATAAAATGAAATTTACCCAAAAAAATCTGTTTAGAATATTTTTCTTTAAATGTTTGAATTAAAAATTTTAATATCGGATTTAAATTATATCACATAAGGAAAAAATAAATAATAAACTTTTATTAATATATTATTTCATATAAAGTAAAAGTTATGATAATTCAAATTTATTTTTTAAAAATTTTCTAAAATAATTAATATTTTAGTAATTATATTGTAAGAATAATTGTATAATTAATTAAATAAAATATTATATTAATTATATCTTAAAATACTTGATTAGATAACTTGGATAAAAAAATAATTATATTAATTAGTTATTAGAGATGTGTTTATATGAAATTAAGATAAAATGGAATGTTCCCAAAAAAATCGACATTTTTTTATTCATCATAAGGGAAATGCTCACATGCCCACGGTGGGCACATTTTAATATGCCCACCGACTTATGTGGCATGCACACATTGGTCATGTATTTTTTTTAACATATTAACATCACCAATGTATGCATAGCACATCAGCGGTAGGCATATTAACATGTGTCCACCGTGGGCATGTGAGCATGTACCCACGGTGGGTACATACATGTTAATATGCCCACCGACTTATGTGGCATACTCAACTATTATTTTATTTTAAGATTTATTGACACATGATATGTATTTGAATAATAACTGTATGCAAAATATTATAATTAATTAAAAATTTTAAGTGGACACTTTTAAATAAATCACATCACATTTATCAATAATAAGACATATATTCGATGAGGCAAAAAAATTGAGTAAAATAAATGGGCCTTTTTTTTGAACCATCAATTCCATTAACAATTAAAAAAATAGCCCAAAGTGTGGCCATTGATGAAGTCCGGTTTTGTTAAGAGATGACAGGCCCTTTATTCCAAAGTAAACAGATCGACGGCTCGGAGTAACCCACAAAATTCGATGGCTGAAAACGAAAACTTTTACATATAAAAGCGGGAAAAGTGAACCCTAAATCATTTTCAGATTATTCCTGAACATTATCGCTGCAAACACCTTCTTCCTCATGATTTTGGGTCCATTTTTACGAAAAAATCACCAAAAATAGAAATGTTAGTCTACTATCCAAATTTTGCTACCTCGACAACCAAAATGATCGAAATCAATCTCTATCATTATTTTTTTGTCAGTCGGAGCTCCTCCCTGCCCGGCGGCTCTGCACCCAACCCGCACAGCAGCTCCTCCTTCTGGATCGTTCGTGTTGATCATCTTGAACGCCTGCTTGAGCTCGAGGTACACGTCGACGGAGATCTAGGACCACTCGTTGGCGGAGCCGGAGGGGAGGACGGTGGTCGGCGTGGCCAGGCCGCCGCCGCCCTTCTTTTTGTATATGTCCTCGGAAGAAGCCGAGGAGGACGTCGACTGGGAGCTGAAAGACGACAGATCATCTTCGGATCTGAAAACGGATCGAGATTTTTTGGGCCTGAACTACTTGCCGGGTATGATCTTGGCGAGTTTCATGGCGGAGATGAGAATCCAACAAAGGTGAGAGAGAAGAAGGCAAGGAGAGAGAATGAGGATGTGGTAAATTGTGGTTTGACGGAAAGAGGGGAGGAAGGAGAGAAGTTAAATGGTGCGAGGAAGTTAGAGAGAGAGAGATAGTTTTTTTTAGAAGAGATAATCAAAGGATAAATTAAAATAAATCTATAGTGAATCTTTCCTAAAATTTAGCTGCATAATTGGATCACAAAATATCAACCAACTATTTCAAATAAAACTAGTACAGAGCCCGTGCGATGCACGAGGTGCACAATTTTAAGGCTATTTATCCAGACTTATATAATTATATACATGAATACAAAAAAATGTACAGGATATATATAGTACGTGACCCGTGCGAGGCACGGAATATATTTATTTGAGGAATACTATATTATAAGATGCAATATTCAATAAAAATTTTATAATACGCAGGAAAATTATACAATAAGATAGTATTCGACAAACAAACAATCATATATTATTAAAGACCACCTTGCACACAACATTATGAGTTTGATTTTCCATACAATAATAATAAGATTTTTTGTAAAAATATAAGAAGAAATTTTCAATCTACACAAACTTTAAACATTAGATGTATTTACGTAAATCAATGACTATATAGACAACTAAACCCTTCAATTTAGGCTTGACATCTACTTTTATGGGTGACGTAAAATAAGGATTTAATTTTGACCGATTAAATCTTTATTCATAGGCTTGACATATAAAACTGATTTGATGGGATTTTCTTAACTAAACCGATGCTATGGGATAAAGCAAATCTATACTTACCTTTGACTTTTCCAGCAAAGGTAAAAAAATCAGTTCTGATTTTTATCCCATAACAAATCTTTAATGTCAAGCCTATAAATACCAAAACAAATCTATAATTAATATCATTCTATTTCCAGCAAGTATTAATTACCTTTGACTTTTCTGCCTACTATTTCTAGTAAATAGGATGACTTTTTATATAAATATAGATTTCATATAATGCAAAGACTGAGATCATAAAAAAGAATCCTAAAAACTGAAACAATATATTTGCATAATTTAAGGTCATTAAGAAATCAATCTCTAAACGAGATTTGATTTTCAGAATATGTTTTTTCATTTCGAATTCCATACAAAATGGAATTCTTTCCAACCAATAGAAGTCATAGCAAATATTAACTCTTAACTATTAGACTATTAGTACATACCGAGCAAATTGTGTACTGATTTTAGAAAGTTAAAATGATTCATGTTAGGTAATTTTATATTTTATGCATGTTGAACGGTGGGTTTTAAATATTATTTCATAGAATGTAAAAGTGTATTATATTATTTTTATGAGATGTTGAATTTGAAAATTAATAGAATTCTTCTTCATAGGAATTTTAAATGTAACAATATTCTTTAGTATACACTACTAATAAAATCTATATTTAAAGTATATACTTTTTTTTACCGAAAAAAATTCCTTAATTTAAGGAATCATATATCTTCAATCAGTCCACATCTATATACATTCTTCACAATTTTAAATCTTGAATTTGATGAGAATTTGTATCTATGAGTGCAAAATATGGTTTAACAAATTAATTTTTTATTATTATTCCAGCCATACTTCTTTATACGATTTTTTGTGAAAATACAAAAATAAATTCTTAATTTTAAATCAGCCGTACATTAAAGAGTACAAATTTGTTGAAATTACAAAAGTAGTTTTTTACTTTTAAACAGACGTAAATTTAAATCAGTTATAAAAAAGTAATATTTGTTTACCATTTAAATATTAAATCAGCCGTAATTAATGTTGTTTGTTATAGTTGCCACGATTTTCTCCAAACTAAATTAACAACTGCCATGATTTAAGAGCAACATTTAATGCTGCTCTATTTTTAGGAGACATTAAATGTATTTGGCGGGAAAAACTTGCTAAAAGTGTTAAATGGTTAATCTTTTAATATAATGATAGATTTGAAGGGGAAAACAACAATTTGAGCGGGAACTGAAATAATTTTTTCAAAGTTTTTTAAATAATTTTTCTTCTCCGTATTATATATTAATAGATTAGTTGTTAAATATAAAATTATTTATAAAGACATTCATATATTTTATCATCATCTTACTTATGTTAAAATTACTTAAAATATGAGTAATAACTATATTATTGATATTATGTAAAGTAATTAAAATAATATATTAAATGTTTGTAAAAAAGTATTTTATAATTATGCAGTTTAGTATCATATGTTAATGTGTCGAATTATTCATTAGGACATTCATACATTTTAATACTTTTTATGTTACATTTATATTTATTCTGAAAGTATAAATCATTTTTATTTTAATATGTACAAAAAAGAATTAACATAACCCACTATAATTAAGCATCAAATAAAAGACATGACTTCCTGTAAGATGCTTGTAATTTTTAGACGTTAGGTAACACTTCTTGATAATTAATTAGATATCAAAATTGAGAGTGGAATAATTTTCTCCACAACTAAGGGCATGTTTGTTTATAAATTATTTCATTCATATTCAATTTATACTTAAAATCTAATTTAACTTTAATTCAACCCCACTATCTTTAATATTATTCATATAATTAAATAATACAAACCAATCATTTTTATACGTCACATCAATTTTAATTCACGCATCCACTCACATAATTTAACTACCTATCATTTTTCAATCATTTCTAATTATTTATCTTCTACTTTTACATCAAATCAATTTGAATCATTTTACTTTAAATATTATTTTTAATACATTCTTAAAATTCCACTAATAACTAACTATATCACATTTTCTAAAATTAATTATGGTTAACCAAAATAACTCATTTTAGACAAATTATTCTGTAAACAAGTGAACTCTAAACACTTATTTTATCAAACATCTAATATGGTCAAACAGCTAAAATACCTTCAAAAAGCTAAAAGCAGATAATTTACAAAAATTTATGAACTAGATTGAATAATGTGTAAAACTTGCAAATTTCCAGCAGGATACACAATCTCTTCCAGTTTGTAATCATATAGTTAAAATGTGGGAAAACCTCTACCAATATGTAATTAGAGTTAAAATGTGAATAACATTTAAGTTTTTCTAAAATGACAATAAGTAAATGTAAAATCTTATTAATCGTATCTTTAATTATTTTTATGTATATCTTTAATATTAGTATTGAAATAAATTTAAATATATATAGTTATATGTGATGAACATAGATATAATAAATTAATAAATATTTGCGGCCATGATGATCATTTAATTATATCTCATGGTTTTAAAGAAATTTATTGATATTCAAGAATAATACAAAAGTATTTTGTATTAAAAATGAGATTTTTTTAGAATATAAATAAATACAATCAATTATGAGTGGTAGATATTAAATTTATTGAATAATGTATAACATTGATTAATGATGTATAACATTGATTACTGATTCACAATTTTATTGATTGGGGAATTAAAATAATTAATGGAAAATGAATATTTATTTTTTTAGTTTCATTTTATTTTCTTAAGACAATTTATTATTTTTCTTTTTTCAAAATAAAATTATTTGGCTATTCTAGAGACCAACAAAACTGTGGTTAGGGTCAAAGGTCCGAAATATTTCGCCATACATCACCGGAAAATTTGGCTGAGGTGAAAAAGGGAAAGGGAAAAAAAAATCCCAAAATCGCCGCCGCGTGCAGCCATTAGCACCGTGCTCGACGTCAATAAGTTTAAGTCAGGTGAAGCTATTACTTTACTGCTAACAGTATTTGCTAACTTGCGTTACCTGATTATTTTTACCTCGTGAATTTTGCAACCCGGAGAATTTTTGATTAATTTTTGCAACCTCTGTTCTATTGCAGTGGTTTTGGAAAGGCATATCATGTCTTGGTGTTCTATTGAGTCGGATCCTGGTATTTTTTTTTTTCTTGTTGTTCTGTTTTGCTAAAAATCATATTCACCTGTTTCTTGGTTTTGAGTGTCAATTACTCTTGTTCACCAAAAAGGGCCCGTTATTTTTAACTAAGGAATAGCTTTTCATTTGTATTCATGAGCCAAAATCCGGTCTTTGGGGGAAACAGTGAATGAATAACCTTTGCACAAGTTTGTCAGTAATTTGCCATTGCATCTAGTTGGAGTTTGATGATTTTGGATGAAAACAAGCTTAGCATTTTTTTTGCCTTCAAACACTGCCTATACGACATTTGATCCTAGAGGTCAATCTTCCTACATGGGCCAATAACTAGTTTTTATATTGTTATTGGGTTATAACTTAGAAATAGTTTGCTTTTGTAATACGTTCCACACTGAGCATTCTGTGATGGCTATTAGGAATAGATTACTGCATATATTTATGTGCTTGAATTTATTTCTACTAAAATCCTTTGTGTATAAGTGCTGTTAATTTTTGTTGCGTACTGCAGGTGTCTTCACTGAACTTCTACAGCAGATGCAAGTTAAAGGTGTTCAGGTATTGTTCTTCTAATTATATATTGAAGCACCCGATGTAGGAATTGACAGACATGATGTCTTGAGTGTAATGATTGGACAGTTCATCATAGTTGCTTTCTTCTAACGTGTCATCAATTAGAATGAAATAATATATGGCTGAAGATTTAATATTGCTTTACTCTTAGCAATATGCATTTTAACATTGTCTGTGTTTAAACCGATACAAACTCGATGTCAAGATCTTTAAACAGCTGTGAAATATTCAGTTTACCTGTTCCTTTTGGCAGCTATTCATTTCAAACAAGATCTTGGTCAAGTCACAAGATAATGTATGGGGATTGACATAATCGAGTGTTGTTTCATGTTACAACACTGCACATTTTAGAATTTTTAATCACTGCATTTAGTTTGTATGACCTCCATAACCTTTTAACTCTAGGAGTTATAAGTGAATCTGTTGGCTTTGATTTATACATTATCTATCAAGCAGGTTGAGGAGTTGTATTCGTTGGACCTCGATTCTCTTAATAGTTTAAGGTAAATTATTAAATATCTCATCTGTATATTATTTACTCATCTATTACAGTTACACTCGTATGACTCATATTTTTGTACCCGCTAATTATAGGCCGATATATGGCCTAGTATTCTTATTCAAATGGCGTCCCGTTGAGAAAGACGAGCGTTTAGTGATAAAGGATCCGAACCCAAACTTGTTTTTCGCCAACCAGGCTAGTTTTTCCTCTCTCAACCAAATTCTCGAATTCCACATAAAAATACTCAAAGCCTTTAAAGCTCCTTGCAATATCATTCTTTTTTTTTTTCTTGGCAAATTATAGGTGATCAATAACGCATGCGCGACCCAAGCACTCCTCTCAGTCCTCATGAACAGCCCGGAAATCGACATCGGGCCCGAGCTCTCGTCCCTGAAAGAATTCACCAGAAATTTCCCTCCCGAGCTGAAGGGCCTAGCCATCAACAACAGCGAGCCCATTCGCGCGGCCCACAACAGTTTCGCTAGGCCCGAACAATTTTCCCAGGACGAGCGGCAAAACCCCTCTGATGACGTGTACCACTTCATCAGCTATGTCCCAGTTGAAGGCGTACTCTACGAGCTCGACGGGCTCAAGGAAGGCCCAATAAGCCTTGGCCCGTGTTCTGACAGCCCAGAGGAGGATATGGACTGGGTACGGATAGCAAGGCCCGTTATTCAAGAGAGGATAGAGAGGTATTCGAGGGATGAGATTGAGTTCAGTTTGATGGCTGTGATAAAGAACAGGAGAGAGATGTATACAGCCGAACTGAAGGATTTGCAGAGGAGAAGAGAGAGGATTTTGCAGCAGCTCGGGACTTTGCAGTCGGAGAGGATGGTTGAGAGTGGTAATGTGGAGTCTCTGAATAGAGTGCTTTTGGAGATAAATGGTGGGATTGAAGGGGCTACTGAGAAGATATTGGCTGAGGAAGAGAAGCTGAAGAAATGGAGGACTGAGAATATACGTAGGAAGCATAATTACGTGCCGTTTTTGTTTAACTTCTTGAAGATGCTGGCGGAGAAGAAGCAGCTGAGAGGGCTTGTGGAGAAGGCTAAAGTGAAACAAAACCAGTCACAGTGATATATTCGACATATTCGAGACAAGACCAGTTTTTTCGAATAGAAATTGTTTATTTTTGTGGCGTTTTGTTTGAATTTTGAGTTGATTTATGTGGACATAATGTCTGTATTGGTGTGTGTTAATGTGTGGTATGGAGGTGAAGGACTTGAAATACAGTTAGCTTCTTCAGTGAAAGGATTCATTACTTAAGGAAGAGTTCTAAAAACTTATATTTAGTTGTTTCGTTTATGGCTGTGATAGATATGAGTGTACACAGACAGTGTACTGATGAAAAACAAAATAAAAAGGATTGGATGAAGAAAATGGCAAAACAAATTTAATTGGTGTGAAATGAAAATGTGATGAAGAAAAACAATAGAATTAATAAACAAGTTCAACAGTCATCAAACAAAACAGACACAATCAGCAAGCAAGTAGCTTCCTGCTACCTTAGCAGCTCGACCAGTAACTCGAGGCCGCGAATTTATTAAAAGCGGATCCTAGTTTGTTACGTTTCATCCGAAGCACGAAAATAACAAGAAATTCCAGAAAATGTGCATGGAAAAACCAATGCAGAATATATACAAGATACACGAGCGATTATCTCGTTTGTGTTGTTTATTCGTCATCGTCATCAAATTTTTTTTTATTTTTTTTTTCAGTAACCTCCTTGGATAAAAGCATTTAGGCGGTTCAGTTCATCACGATGCTCAGTCACGACTGCACGCACCACATCACCAATCGAAACCATCCCAATCATATCCCCTTCGTTTATGACAGGAATATGCCTGATACGGTTATCTGCGNAGCTTGCATAAATATGATTCTTAGAATTATTAGGAAAAAAAAAAGAATGTAAAGAAGAATACCAGTCATAAGTTGCATTGCTTTCAAGACTTTAGTGTCCGGTTTGACAGTAATAAGTTTGTTCTGCAATCAACCCATCTTTAGTTATAGTTCAGAAACTTTGATAAGCTAACAACAATTGCACGAAGCAAATCTACCATTTGAGGTCAATTTATCCGGATGAAACTTGCTCGGTTAAGAGATTTATACCTCTTCAGTCATAATGTCCCCAACTTTTGTTGACTTGGATGATCTTCCCTGGACAATTATTTTTCTGAGATAATCTGCAAGTTAACATAAACCAGCAGTTATAGTCGAACCATCCTCGAAAAACGAGTAATTTAATGCACCGTTTGAGGCTTGCTTTATCAAGTTCCGATTTTTCCACAAACTTCTTCGTAGAAAAATTATGTGATGTTTAATTACTCGTATTGCTGTTCATTGAATCTAATCCTACATATACTCAAATGGCAAGTTATGCAAGATTTTCCTGTCCTCATACTCGGTCATAAGATAATCAGTGAAATTTAAGCAAAATGCTAGCAACGTTCGAGCAGCATTTCAAAGCAAAAGTTATGTACCTCTTTCAGTGATAATTCCTGCAATTGACTTTTCCTCCCCCGGTTTAACCACCACCAGAGCTCCAACGTTGTGCTGAGTCATCTACAATTTAATTTAAAAAGAAAAAAAAGGTTCAAGACCTTCTCATTTTCATCAACTGCGCAAAATTTTCGAAAGCAAACATGAATATTTCATAAACCACCTGCAAAGCCTAGCCTAATAATCATCACTGATTCCAGTTTATATAAAATTAGAAGCTTTTCTACTTAAACTTATCAATATACCCCATCTTGAGGTCAACAATTTGCAAACGAGAGGTAAATGAAGTATATGTATAGCCGAATATTTAAAAGCCAAAGACTTTTATACCGATTGCACGGCATCATACACAGAGTCATCGGTAGTGCACCAAAGCCAAGACCCATCTGCACCTTTCCCTTTAGCTTTCAGAACATCAGAAATTGTGGTGCTTTCGAAACCGTGTTCTTCAATACGAGCAGTAGAGGTCGATTCTTGGCGTGTAAACATTAAAGTCCTCACGGCTGCTGATGGGCCCACCCGAGCATGGCGAAGAACGGCATTTTTTATTACACTCCCGTTCGAGAAGATTGATTTGATTCCTCCTTGCATTGTGCCTTACTTAGTTAAAAATAAAGAGAGAGATTATTTACAATTTTATGAAAAAAGAAAAACTTAAAACTTTGAATCATCTTGCAGGTAGTTTGCTACTGAAAATCATAAAATTTTGATGGTCTTAGGATACTAAGTGAATGTTTGCAAACTGTAAAGAAAATCGTATTGTTTATTACTACCAAGAATCACTCATAGTCATAGCCCACCAGAAACTAATATTTTTTTGAAATATTACATCTGAAAATTGAAACAGAAGAAAACGAATCTACAAGGTTTACAGATCTTTCGAGTAAATTCAGACTTCAAAATGCAAATTCCAAAAAAATAAAAAAAGTCCTTGTTCGTGTCTCCATAAACTCTCCCAGCTGCATCATTCATTTAACCCTTTCCTCTTATCTAAATCTTACAAGATACACAAATTACATTAGCAAGACCCATTTTTTTAACATCACAGAGCATTTAAGAATCAAGAAACAAGAATAGGCTGAATAGCAAATCCCATGGGAAAATGAAAAGGAAAAGGCTTTCTTGGGCAGTTCAAAACTCAGTCGAAGCTTCAGAAATTGACCATGAAAGATCAAATGAAGGCTCCAAGATTTACCTGAAGCGAAGAGATTTTCAGCTGAGCTTGCAGAGTAGAGTGAATAAAAAGATCACAAAAGAAAACCAAAACTCTTCAGCTGCCCCTTCTTATCCACCCAACAAATAAAATAAGTTCAAATTGAAAAAGAAAAAGGTCTCATTATCATGCAGCAACTTATCACCATTATCCATTTCAAACTTATAGTATAAAATATTGGTCACTTGTTAACATGTTTAGTTCTTTCATGACAGGACCATGACATCTCAGCCGTCCACGTGTTGGGTTTTTGTGTCTCTGCATATTACTCCTTGCAGGTGGTGAAGATTCCATTTCTTCTATCTAATAAAGGCTCGTTTGAGAATATGGTTGGGATTGTAGCCCTGATGGCCCTATCCCGTATTGGGCTGGAAAGTCTTTCCTTATCCCCACTTTAACCTCGAGGCCTACTATTCTCTCAATCTACCACAACAACCACAACAATCTTGCCACGTGGGCTTTTAGGGGCAAAATTGACTTCGCACGAGAAAGGATAAAATATGGGAGTATGAATAACACCTCCCTACGGCTGATTCAATTTCACCATTTTAAAAGATTCTTTAACAGGCCTTGTATAATTAACGGGCTTATTTCAAAAATCCCAAATGCAGCTATTAGCTGGGATTAATTTCCTTTTCCCCACTAGTCCCATCATTTCCATCTTCCCAAAAGTGCCCTAAGGGTTTGACATCCGATATGGCGTACACGTAAATGGACGACACGTGGCATCCAATCACCTAATGACAAGTATCGAAAACTATGGCAAGATCAATCGGACGCTACTAAACACCTTCTCAAACAGCTCGGACAGTAATGGAACCCAGACCAAGACATCCGACCCCTTTTATCGGAGGTCCGACTATGAGACATTGCAACATGAAGATCAACTAAACTATACGGAATACTCGGATAATTCACCATAAGAGTATCCACAATGCTTTGAGTCCACTTAAAATAATTTGTATGGCACCTAAGAAATAGACTCAGTCTAGAAAAATATATTCTCTAATGCAAGTGCAAGAGAATTATGTCCTGCTGATGTGGCAGCAATAAAAAGAGACCCGGTCAACTCTTAAGTCTATTTTAAGCCGAAGTAGAGATCTAGTCTCCTTGCATTGGAGTGAATTTTATTAATTTCGTAAATTTTATCCATGTTATCTAAGACTTGAGTTTATGTACATGCGACATAAGCAAAATTAGACCCAATGCATGGTAAATGCTCGAAGAAGACCGATCAGATCCTATTAAAAAGTGACTGTCTAGCGTGGGACCCGCCCAACGATTCTGCACCTTGCAATCAAATCACATTAAATAGTAATCATGTCGGTAATATGCAAACCTCAAAAAGTTGTACCAGTGGGTTTCATAATATAAATATCCCATAATTATTAGATAGAGAGAGACGAAATAACATTCAATTGAACATGGTAGTCCAAGTTGTTCTATACATACAATTATGAGGCAGTCCGACCTCATCCTATATTTGAACCTATTTCTCTTGTTTTATCTACACTAATGTTCTTGTTTATTACTCCCTCTGTTTCGTTTTAAATGTCGTTGTAGGGTGTCAACTTTTTTGCAAATTAATTGTCGTTGGAAATATTATATTCATTCTTACATCTTTATTCTCTTTAACAAACATTATCTCTTATCATTATCGTTAAAAACTACCCATTAATAAATCAAAAACTAAATTTAATAAGATTAAAAAATAAGATTATTACACAACCCATTAAAATCGTAATTTAGAAGTTTTAAATTAAAACGATATTTAATAAGAAACGGAGGGAGTATTTAATTTTTTATTAACTTTGCTTAATAGGGATTTTTCTAAACCGTTGTTGCAAATTTCACATAACAAAAGGTATGTGAAAAAATTTATACTTAAATTTTAAAAGTAATAATAAAGCTTATTTTAAATTTTAAATGCTTTTTTGAAAAAATAAATTATTATTATTATTTATATTAAAAAATGGCACAATTACATATACGACTTACTCTTCCTCGTCTTATGCTATAATATTTTTTTTTTTATTTATATTATATAATTAATTTGTAGTTACATTGTAATAGAATTGCGAGACATTTGGTACAAAGAAATATCCATGTCATATGATAAGGTTTGTTAAGTGGGGACAAGTTTGGATAAGGTTGAACTTTGTTTAGTGGGGTCAAGTTTGTTTAATAAATTGAAAACCCTTTTAGGTGGTTAGTGCATATGAGATGTTTATTCACGACTAAATAGTCCAATTAATTTTAAACTACTAATCGATTATTCGATTTTGTCCACGTGGAAAAATAAAAATTTATATATTATATGTATATATATGAAATTTACAAAATTTAAATTAGATAAAGTGTGTATTATATATTGTATAACTATAATAAAAAATAGGAATATTAGCTGTAAAATAATTTAATATTGTATATTCAGAAAATTTAAAATCTTGTAAAGTTGTTACAAAATAAAAAAATTAATAATAATAAGATTTTTACTCGTATAACTGTCATTTGAATGTTGGTCATAATGGTTTTTATTCAATGAAGCCTTATTTTTATTAATTGCTAGTGAATAAAATTTATTAAAGCTTATGAACAATTATCTATATAGATTAATAAAAAGAAATTAAAAATTGACCTTTTTGGGAATAAGTTAAGCTCGACGTGTTTCATTTTTTCAAGTTCAATTTGTTTGAGTAACAAACTGACTTCGAATTTTCACAGAGTTAAACCAAATTATATTTTTTGTGAAGAAAAGATCCATTTCGATATCACCTATATTCTTCACCAAGAAATGCCAAAAAGAAAAGTTTCGCTTGGTAATTTGAAATACTATGGAATATTTGATAAATTTACTAGTAATAAATAAATTACTTGATAGCTGATAAATTATGATTGAAAAACTATCAAATATTATAAAATTGTTAAATAAAAATGACTAAGAAATCAACTAAAACAAACAAATTAATATGCTTACTAGTAACTTTACGAAGAAAAAACTTTTGAGATAGTCAAATTTTCTACACAACTCATCCTACCAAACTTATTTGAATTGCAAAGATTTATAAGCTAATTAAATACGTTATAAATTAGTTTATAATACTTACCCAAATACTCTTCAATCTTCATATATCATATGCNCACCAAAAAAAAAAAAAAAATGTCTTCCAAAAATAACAATTAAACAATAAGGGCAACATACTTTCTCCTTCTCCATGTTGATTTGGAAATGAGTAATTATTATCTAAAAAACACAAAAATAATCGAACCAACAAAGAGTCGATCAAATGTAAGGACAGGTAAACGCATTTTGGAGAATCAATCAAAGATCTCACCAAACCTGCAAAATTTACTAAAAAACCAATCTGATTCCCGTATAGACGAGTAATGCTATTCAGCAGATACAAGAATCAAACGATAATGAGAAAAATCTAACAAACTCGAACGATGCTTGCAACAACCAGCTGAAATGGAAAGCCCGTCTAATTCTATTCTCCGACTGTCAGTCCAAATCCAAACTTGTAATCCTTCTTCTTATGATCAATCTGCAAGATTACAGTAATTACAAGAAGAACAAAATACAAGCAGGATACTAAAAGCAGTAGTTATCGTATGTCGTTTGTCCTCACCTCAGCCGAAAGAATAAAATTGAGTCCCATATTAAAACGCTCCTCCAGAAAAGCAGCCACAACACCGTTGGAATCTATCTTTCCTCTTAATCGACACTGAAAATACACCGGAAAAACACTCGGGATAAGGTGTGATTATTTGTCAAACCCAAGCAGATAGATTGGGAGGAAAGATTATTGTTCAGTATGACTCTTTTGTAACAAGTTAAATCTACATTAACACTTCATTTACCGCGTCAAAAGAAGTGTCACACGTAGAATATAGTTAAAGAGCAGTCACTCAGAAGTGATATAATCGAACAATTAACCACATAGTAGCAAAGCGCATCAGATATTATCCATGTGAAAATTCACAAGTCAGAAATTTTACCTGGCGTAGAATATAATCATATCCAAAGCTGGCCGTGACATCTCTAGACATTGCGTTGTACATAAAATCTGACGCTAGAGAAACCTATATATTAAAAAATGTCCTATTAGTTGACCAAAAAAAAAAAAAGAATAAAGAAGCATAAGGAAAAAGAAGAAAGAAAATAAATCAGAATTGCTAACAATGTCGAATTAGAAACCAATTCACCTTTTCAGACACTTTCTGTACATAGCTTAGAGCAACCATACCAGTGCTAGCAACTTGACCGGCTGCAACCTGTACTAAAACCAACCAGTTATTATATCTGATGGTGTAGATTAAATGGACTTGCTTTCAAATCAAAATATAAAACGCACGAGGAAAACATTTAGAAAACATGCACTCCCATCGAAAATATACCTTACAATAACCAAAATAAATAAATAACATGATACAGTTGGAAAGAAACATTCATGTTTAGCATGAAACACGATTACACGAGCTATCATGCACATCTGGGTTCAGTTAACCTGTCAAGTGCCCAGCATATATAGCTCAATCATATGTGGAACAAAACTCACAATAACACGATTAATTAAACGTCAATGCACAGAGCACGGTTCTACTTCATCACTTCTAACAGGATCTTAATATGCTGGAAAGACAACTAATTCCATGCATAAACCGGCATCACATACTTCTTATAAAAAAATTCCAAAATGATACAACAGCAGTAGAAAGAAAAAAATTGCAGGGAGAAAAGATATTAAACTTAAATCAACTAATATACAACTTTCCAAAGAAAAGTACCATCTTGTCAGTGCTGTAACGAGCAGCATAACCGAGGCCAGATTTCCGATGTTGACCAGCCCAGAATATTTCACCACCCAATGACAAATGAGGAGTCACACTCTGCAAAGAGAAATAAATGCAATCAGTTACTAGTACAAAGTGCAAAGATCCATTTCGTTTTTTTCAAGTTCAAATTCATCAACACAACAGATAGTCACCGAAAAGAAAGGGTGACGAGATTTGTAGTGAATAGCTTATTTTACTTCATCTGAACACCTGAGCTGAGCTTAAAAGATTAATTGGCAAACAGCCAAAAATATTAGTGATTTACATGGATGAAAGAAAAATAATGCCAATATGTGAAGAATTTTACAAACATAACCAAACAGAAAAATATAGTTAAAATTTGCACCGTGATCAAATTGGTGCATACTTAATCAGAGTCAAAGAAACAATCTTGTAAGCAATGGAAGTAGTACATTCGAGAAGATTCTACATTGTCCAAGAAGTAATGGAAGGTACTTACAAATAAATAAAGACCACGCTAGTAGTATCTACGAGAAGGAACTACATTGTCCAAAAAGTAATAAAGGGTACTTGTCATTAAATGCAGACCACAAGTGAAAATCGCATCAGGATAATGAGGCGTGAACTGAATAGCAGACACTTGTTCATAAGGTTGACATGCTCGATCTAAAATTTTAGCAACTAACATATACTAATACCCACTTTAGGAACATTTCTTTTTGTCAGGTGATGCACGTGATCCTCGGCCCATTATCAAGGTAGCATCTTCATTTTTTGGGGTGCACATAAAGAAATTAACTGGATACACCAAAAAGATAATACAGTGTTTCACAGCCATTAATTCATTATGATGACTCTTTGCTAGCATAGGGCCCCGTAAGATCTACTCTTGTAATATTTATTCCATTGGCGGGAAGACTAGTGCAATATAGCTAGAGATATTTGAGAAGTGGAAAACCATATGTCCATTTCTAGATTGCTACATAATGGAATCTTAATAACCCTGCATTTTCAATGGAACTGAGATAGCAAGAATGAACAAGAATGTCCTGTCTCTAGGATTTTACTTGGTCTGGCTGCCTTGATGAGAAAAGGAATAACTCCCAAGCTTGTTACATGGAATAAGAACATTTCAAAGTGGATGTCCATGATGCTACTATCCATACATCTTTTTCTACACCTATCTGGATCCTAATGAGTTAATTTTTTCATCAATTTATTCACCACTAAGCATACAACATTTGCTCATCACAGAAAACTCATCATTTTTTTTTTTCTGATTTTCTGGATTAAGTCGAACTATTCATCAACCTAGGAAGAAACAGAAATTTTGTAAACTGAATAAAACAGACAAGGTGATTTACCTTTCAAAATTATAAAGCTGGAATTTTCAGGATTATTACTTGTATAAAACACAGAATGATATCCACCAGGATGAGAAAAGGTGAAATAGTACTGGAACTATGAACTCAACCAAAACATCAAGATTATAGAATCATTAAGATACCATTCTGGGAGTTTAAAATTATCAACTGTTTGCCATTTGACAGAATATAATTAATTTAAGGTTCTCTTTTTACGTAAATGTATTTGAAATAAGTATTAGATCACTCACCTGGATGTAACTTGCACCAAGTAAAGCACCGTTTCCTAGTTGAAACTGAGTCCTATAGTCTGATCCCTGTAAATATTCATACAGTGCATGCTATTAATATCAACCCAATGTCACAGTGACTTCGTTCCATTAAAAGCATCAGATCTCATCCAGAGCAATGCGCAAAATGTGTTGGTTACAACATGCTTGCAGAAATCTTCAAGACTACGCAACACGAAATTACCTTATAATCAAAATTGAACATGCCTTGTGACATATGTGGCTCATTTGTAAGCTACAGAAAAAGAAAAGCTGTTAAATTCCTTGTCTGAACCAATAATATTATAATAGCTTTTTAGATAATTGTCTTTTGTAGAACTTCCATGACATGTGTATTCCTACTTGAGCATTGGCCCTCAGAGCAAGATTATCAGTCAAATCACACTTCATTCTTGCGGTTAATCTCCCGTCCGTCATCACTCTCCCCATAAGTACTAACTGCCAAAGAACAGATAACTCCTTGATGGTCAAATCAAGAAATTCGTTATAAATGCAAATAATTAGAGAAAAAATGTGGCCACCTTAGGGTCTAAAAAGTTAGCACCAAACTCATACTGAGCAGTGGGGATTTTAATTGTTTCAGATGACTGAGATGGAATCTCTGTTGGCCCCATCATCAAACTGAATAAAAATCAAAACCATTCAGCAATCAGGTATAACAAATACCTCCATCAGGAAGAGGGATGCAGTGACGCACCACGAAATTAAATCACAAATTAAAGTGAAAAATTGAACGGAAATCTATTTCACCTATGGCTCAGAGAAAACTTCTGATTGAGTCCTTTGGTAAAGTCAAATCGCATTCCCTCAAAGAGATCTGGCTTCAGGGACACTGCCAGTCATATTTAACAAAATATAATTATACACATAACAACTTAATGCTACGAGCATTATTCAAAATGTTTCCGAGCATTACCAAAGTCGTACAATATTGCAATTTGCAACACATTCACTTAATGGTACTAGCACTATTCACAATGTTTTCTAGCATTACCAAAGTAGTACACATTGCAATTGGAAGCATATTAACTTAACCTGCAGCAAATGGATCTAATGTAAATGACTAAGGTTATATTTTCCAGGCTGAACTTCTATATTCTATAGTTCTATTTAATGCTATTGAGCAATTGAGCAGAGAGTAAAAAGGAATTCTAGAACTAAACTGAACATGTAAGGATGATCATGCAAAATCTTACAATCTGGGGCTGCACTGCTAGCTTCCGTGGATCATAAAAATTGTGATCAGTATTTACATAGTGAAACAGAAGCACAATGCATTCAACTGATTCTTCCAAGACAGATTTACTTCAAGTAGGGTTTTACAGCAGAATACACCCACAAACGCCAAAAGAAACACCAATACTGATAAAAAAATCAAGCTCCAGGCTCCAATTAACCAATCAAGAAGGCCACCTTCCACGTAAGTAAGAACAACAGTTCAAGCAAATGCACGGAAACCATTTGAAAAGATGAACTAGAAAGAACCCACAAAGGAGAATCGAAAGGGAGAAACACTAACTGAGGGCATCGCGGTGGATTTCTTCGTACGCAATGGGGCAGGGGAGATTCAAGTAGTCCACTTTTGGCTTCTCGGTGGCGGTCGGGGTTGAACCGGCCGCCGGTGGGGTCGTCGCCGCGGCAGGAGATGGAGGAACAAAGGCTGCCATTTTTGCTGGTGTTGGCTACGGATTGTTAACCAGACACAGCTGATACAAATTCGAAGCCCAAAACTGGATCTTTCTTCCTCTACAGAGAAGAAAGGCAGCGGCTGTTGTAAAAGCAAAGCAAATCAATTGAGAGAAACCCCTCCCCTTGAAATCACAAAACCCTTAACCCATACAGTTTTTTCCTGGTTGGACCCGACCCGTTTTTAACCCAAAAGTACTACACATACTTGTGTAAGACGAAGGATTGGTCGACCCGTCTTACTTTTATATCTATGCTCACTAATAATAATAAAACAAATAAATTTGTGGCATGTTTAAAACAAAATATAATTCATCATAATTTATTGATTGATGTAGCTTAGTCAGACAACCAATAATATATTGTTAATAAAAATATATATTTTTATATTACCAAAATATACTAGTTTTGTTTGTCTGACAATACTCGTTCTGTAATTTATAGTATGAAATATTATCAACCTATTTGTTCATTAGCATATTTCGACATAAATTTAAAGTTTGAGAATAATCAGAAGCTTAGAAAGTATGTATTAATGACATGATTGGTATAATAGAATGAAATTTGATAGAAATAAAATGAGTTGAAGAATAGAATGATTATGAGAAATGAATGAAATAAGTTTTGTCATTGATGCATTTGGTATGCAGAAATAATAAGATCGAAATGAGATAGCATTATCATCTTATATTATCATTTATATTATCATTTATCACTATTTTATAGTAAAAAAATAACATTTATATTAATGTCATTTTCTTATTTATGATACTAATATTATTTTATATTTTAAAAATATACTATATTTGAATAAACATACTTTTGTATTGTTACACCCATCTTATATAATAAATAGTGAAATATGTATTTATGTACATATTAACTGATACAAATATATCATTACATAAACTCTATGGGCATTTGTGGTCAAATATACCTTTTTATTATATAATTAAATTTATGAATAAATATACAATATATAAGATTAAATAAACTAATATCAGATCTTTCTAAACTAGTTATAAATGTATTTTTTGTGATTTTTATTTTTATATAAGTAGTTAATATATCTAACTAAAATATGAATAACAAATTAAAATATTTTTTTATTTGAAATTAATTTTTTAAAATGATTTTATTTAATATAATTTACTCATTATAATATAATATATAATATTTGTTTATTTGTTATTATTATTTGTTAATTTTATTTTTTAAACAATTGATTCCTAAACATATGGGAATGAGAAAACCATCCATTAGCTATGGAATGGCTAATCCCATACACATGGATTTTCCGATTGCCATTGGAATGACCATTCCCTTCTAAAACTAATCATGAGAATATGAATGAGTAAGAGAATGATCATTACGTTCTCACATAATTCCCGCATACCAATCATGTCATAAGTAGATCTTTATACATTCACCACACTTTTGCAGTTTTGCACTATCAACTAATTACTAATTAAATAAACGTGTTTATAAGTTATTTATTTATTTATTTTTCGGTTAGCCGTGATTAATTTTTAAAAATTAAGTTTCAGTGGAATTTTGAGCTTGTATTAAAATAATATTAAAGTTGATTTGATGTAGAAATAGGAGATAAATAATTAAAAGTGATAGATAATTAAAATTACGTGAGTGGATGAATAGTGAATTAAAGTTGATGTGATGGGTAATAATGACTTGTTGGTATTATTTTATTACATTGATAATATTAGGGATATCGAGATTGAGCTCAAGTTGAATATATTTGAGTTGGAATTTATTTTTTATTTAAAAAAAAACGTGTATACAAACATGCACTAACAATTCCTTTTGTAGGATCGACTAATTAAATTAGATTGTCAGACTCTGTACAAATTGCTAATTAATTAAGTTAAACAAATTTTTTTGCTCAAAAAGCTAATTAAGGTGGGTATATTCAATTGAAACTTTTAAAGACTTTATAAAGTGAGTGACTTTGGTTAACTTTGAAAAACTTTAATACTTTGGTGACTTTCTTTGACTTTCATAAAATTCTTATTAGAGACTTTTTAAAACTTTTATCATGTACTTTTTGAAACTTGTTGAGACTTTTATATACTTATACTATAATTATTACGTTTGCATGAAATATTCATGAACCTTGCATCATAATCAACTAGATGAAAGTAAAATTCTTAGCATGTGCAAACTATAAAACATTTGACTTTTAAAAAATTAAATTTAAAAACATGTACATGAGAGGATAAAAGTAGATATACAATAAAATAACCATAAATAAATAATATTAATTAAAAAATCACGTTAAGCATTTGTGGTGAAAAAAACTAATTATATAAGTTTTTCTTTTTTTTTTCGGAACGACAAATTTCATTAGTAACGACACGTATTTATAAGCAACTAACTAGCCGACTGAAGCAACTAAAAAAACTGAATTCACATAGAGGTCTACGTGACGTAAACGCTTGTAGCCTAGAGACTACTATGTTAACACACCCACAAATTACGAAAGCGTAATTGAAGCTCCCACAAGTGAAAATTCTATCTCCAAAAAAAGATAATAAATACAAGTTATCAAATTAAATGAGTAAAGTAATTGAGTGTGAAAGTAATATGAGATATATAGCTGTGCATTTTAAACTCTGTAGACAAAAAAAATGCCGAAGAGTCACATGAATCCAAGAAAACCTCACCAATTTGATGAGATTTTTACTAAGACTTTGTTTTTGAATTTTTGTTAAAAAAAGTCTAAAAAATTATTTATACATATTTAATATTTTGAATACATTGTGACTTATAGAGACTATTAGAAAGTTTCAATATAATATCTTAAGACCTTTAGAGACTCTTAGAAAGTTTCAATATAATACCTTAAGACTTTTAGAGATTTATAAAAAATATTTAAAAGTCTCAATTGAATATCATAAATTTTTTAGAAATTTCAAAAAGTTTCAATTGAATGCATTATAA